TGAGAAACCTAAGATACAGATATTTTAAGCTTGGTCCCCAAGTGACAGAAAAGTAGCTTAGCTGTCTTTGTAAGTATTGGTGGTGTGCCATAAGGCATAGAGTCAATTGCTAATCTGGGCATTCCTTAAAGGAAGTTGACCCATGCCTTGAAAATCTGGAAGATGTTCACAGTGCTTAGTCTCATATTAAGTGGAACCACATATATAAAATAATGCATGTATTTCAGACTATTCGTGGAACCTAATGACTAGAAACATTGAGACAGAGCATCTGACCACACATCTTTAGACTTTGAAGGAGTAGGGGAATATAAAATTTGTTGCTCATTGCAGGTGCCAATAATTCTTTTGAGTAGTAAATACAACATATTGAGTCCAATTATGTGTACTTTTTACCAACTTACTCTAGATGTTTTGATAAAAGTCTTTATCTTGATATTTTTTTTACCTACTTAAAGTCTAAAGAGTTTCAGAAGGGAATAGAAGTATTAAAGGATATTCCCAAGAAGTATATGCCATGGCACTGAGAATACGAGCTGCTTCTTGTTGGGGATGACAAGACAAATGGGCTATAGATAGATCTGCTGCTGGCAAAGTGTCCCTGTTCCTCACGTCATTGCTATTTAAGGCATTTTTCCCTTTGGGGTATTTATTGCAGTAAGTGAGCATATTCAAACTAGAATATAAATCTTCAGTGATTATACTGAAGAATTTGGAGGAATCTCCTTTTGTAAAGTTGAATAGACTATCCTGAGGTGACAAAGTATTCTGAGGAAGACTTTATGGGTACTCCAGTAGAAAGATAGGAAGAGAATCTCAAATATGTTAATTTATCAGCTTCAGTACATAAAGCTGTCTTCTGCCGTGTTATTTATTTCCAAGAGGATTTTAAATAGCTAAAACAGAAATTCAAGAATCACATGCTTGTTACATAATATGCTAATTGAGACTTTTACAAACTTGGGTTCACTTAATAAAAGCACTGATTATATTGGATGTATAATTGCATTCATCCATGCATTTATTAAGCATCAACCTCATTTAAGATAATGAAGTATAGTGGGAAGTTCACAAGTGTGATGGTTGGATGACTTTGAGTAAGTTTCTTGTGCTTTTAAGGCTTTAGTTTTCTTATTTGTTTCAAAGAAAAGGAAAAATACAGGATTATAGATGGAAAGGATTAAATGATATGTGTACAAGTGCTTGAAACAGCCTTTAAATTAGCGTAAGCCTTCAGTTAGTGTTGGTCTCTCTTCTTTTCACTCTGTACATGAGAGTGCATTGATGTTCACCAACTGTTAGCAAGTAGCAAAGCTGAATTTTACTCTTTCTCTGCAAGTGGTCCATCTTTGGTGGTCCTTCTTGTTCTCCCAGTGCTCTCTGGTTTTCACAAAAATCAAGCATAGCTTGTTGTGTGGTGGTTTATACAACAACCAAGTGAAGTGGCTTTCTCAAAAATTTACATGGGAAAGTTAGGTACTTGCCTGCTTGTCTAAAGGAAGAGATCCCCAAGACTTGAGTTCTCCAGACATTCTCAAAGAATATTCCGTGGGACACATTCTGTTTAACTCGGCATGGCCACTGCTTCCTTATATCCTTCCCACCACTAGCTAGCAGTGCATATTCTATTAAACACATTAAAATGTTATTTCTAAAGCACCAAGTTTTCTAATTGTTTCAGTGAATATTGTTGTCCCCTTGTCACCATGGGTGAGTTGGCAGTTTTACAGTTTTAATATATTATCTTCTTTTCATTTATTTGTTTAAGCTTCTCTTCTTAATTTATCTAGTGATCTGCTTGCTTGGTCTCCTCAGTTTTTCTCCTCAAAATAGCAAGAGATTGGCGTATAACATTATTTCAACTTGTGCGTCTGGTAAATGCTCAACTCGTTTTCCTATTAAAATTTTGTGTGGAATGAATTCTGTTTTCAGAGTGACAGGTTTCCTATGACTCATTCCCTTGCACAGGCTAGTCTCCGTATAATGGTAGGATCATTCTACATTTTTGTTATTGTTGTTAGATCCTCCCTTTTCTGTCCCTTCAGTACACTCAGCTTGCTGTTACAGTGCAGAATTTTTTAAGTGGTAGTTATCTGTTTATGTGTCTCTCATACCCAATGGGCTGTGAGTTCCTGGAGCCAAGGGACACCATCTTATATTCTATTCATCTTTGCATCCCACTTGCATGACAGCACCTGGCGCATGGTTGGCACTTAATAAATCCTGAGTGAATTTCTTCTATGGGGATTTGTTCTGACTTAACTTCGTACATTGCTCAACTATCTAAAAATTTGTTTGGGGCTATAACTTAACATTTGGGGCTCTACTTGTCGTGTTTGGGGCTTAGTTTGTCATGTATTCAATTGTAATTGGAGTGTGTAGTTGCATCCTTTCCTAACACTGATTTTCTTAATCTCATTTAATATAATATCCTATTTGAATAGCTTCTGTATTAGCATGAGGATTATATATTTTCACTAATTAGTGAAAGTATTAAAAGAAGAGCCCTTTGGGACTGTTGGTCTACCGACTTCTACCCTTAGCTTCTAGAGAATCTCATTCCAGTGTTTCCTATCTGTTAGTTTTATATCTGCTCTAAATTCAGTTCAGTAATCATGTTACTCATCTAGGAGTGTCAGCTATGTACCCGGGTTAGGAAGATAGGTAAGGCATCCAGTCTGTGTGAGGTAGGACAACACCATACTGCGCTAGACCTGCAGAGGCAACCCTGGGAGCACAGAGAGCAGCACCTCACACAGACCTGTAGAGGGAGTGAGGGCCTGAGGGAGTGGTCAGGGAAGGCTCCAGGGAGGAGTGATTCTTGAGGACTTAAGAAATACCTGGAGATTAGCAGGCAAGGGGAGAGAGGGCTTTTTTGTCAGAGAAGAGACAAGAGCAAAGATAAAGGACTGAAGAGCGGTATGCTGTGAGCCTGGAGCTGGGCGGGATTGCTTGGAGTCAGGGAATGTAGAGTGATGACGCCTGAGCAGCCAGCTGGAATCAGGGCTCAGCTCGGTGACCTTGAAAGCCATGGTATTAGATACCCAGACTTTATCCTGTCAGTTGGAGGAAGTGGCTTCTATATCAACACTTTGCTTACTTGTGTTGGTTTCTGGCCCAGATTCCTATAGCGTGGTGGTTAAGGGCATGGACTTTTGAGTCAAACTGCCTGGGTTTGAGTCCTGGCTCTGCCACTTAATTGCTGTGTGACTTTGAGAAACTATGCTAGGTTTCCTCATCACTAATACAGAGATAATAGTAGTACCTTCTTCATCAAAATGGTTACAGAAATTAACTGAGGTCATATTCTATGATGCATAGAATGGTGGCTGGCACTAGATGCCATTATATAGACAATCACATTCTGATTAGTCTCTGCCAGACCCCAAAGATCAGTTAGCACCTTGCAGAATGCAAACTTTATTTTCAAAATCAGTTTATTTTTGAAATTAAGTTTGTTATGTGGTCTGCCTTTGTTTTATTTTTTATTTTTTTAAAAAAAGCTTTTGAAAACACAAGGTGACTTTACTTACTCATTCTTACTCCCTTCTGAACTGAAGGGATATGGATTTTCTTAGAAATTGCAAGTGTTAGGCTTCAGGGGGTATTAGAAGTGAGGAGTGAGGCTGGAAGCTGTTGGTGATAGTGTTAAGTCTTTCCATCTGCTACACAAGAATGATCGAGAGGAAGAGTCTAGAGAGACTCTCCTGGGGTTCTTGAGGCAGTAATTTAATCTAGGTCAACACAGTACAGGCTTTTGCTTTCTGATACTTAGATCTGGAAATAATGATCTTAGTCCTTCACTGCTGCACAGCGTATTATTACGTACAGAGATTTTGAAGTGAATTTATCTTACTGTTATTTCAAGGTATCCACCCTATAAAAAATTTACTTGGCTTTTATAGCCTCTAGTTAGTTGAAAAATATTCTAGAAATACTGGCTTCTAGGGCCCTCAAGGAGTTTCTAATCTTTTCCAGTTGAATATTCTGGAATCTTTATACCATCAATCTTTGACAACTAACTCATTTAAAATTTGCCTGAAATTGCATTTTGTTGCTGAGTATAGACTAGAATACTGATTGTACTTAAAATGTTTGTTTTTATTTTTGTTTTAGGAGATTTATTTTTAAAAACTATGTCAATTAGGATTATTTTGGCAAGTAAATTGTTTAAAAATATTTTCTTTTTCATAAACAAAATATTGGAAAGCCTAGCAAATCACATTTTTTAATCAAAATAGAACCATTTGATATGATCCAATATGAAACTAAACAGAGAAGGCCATCAGTCACTTCTTAAAATTATTTCTTATGAAAGTATTGCCCCTGGATTCTTGATTTCTCTGTTTTCTTTCTCTTTAGGGTGGGTCTGCTCTGTAATTAGTGAAGGTACATGTCTGTCTTTAGGCAATAGCCTAATCTCTAAGGCCATATGTGCAAAAGCAATATAATTACAACATAGTATTAATTGGACCATGTGACTGTTTTTGTTTTAATTATTTGAAATCATCTTATCTTTCCATTCCTTAAAGCATGTTAATGGGTGAATCTTGGGTACCATGTTTATGTCATTTCTATGGAATTAAATATGCGCATATTTATGTAAGCTTGGTAAAAAATTCTGCTTCTTTTTATAATATTATGGATAGATTTTTTTTTTTCTGTCTCAAACATCAATTTAGGCCTGAGGAAATAAAATATTATAAACAATTGCTTCTTTACATTTTGCTTAATTTATAGAACACAGATTGGATTATAGGTATCTCTGGCTGAGGAGGTATCATTCTGAGTTGACATAATAGATTATTAGAAATTTTCAGATTTACTTCTTAATGAGTTAGGGATTTCCATACCTTTATGCACATTCTGTTTAGATAATTTGGTAGGGAATTTAGTGATGGGTGCCCATTTTCACTAAATGCAAGTACTTGGCAGACTGTATGTAGAAACTGGCATTTATCTGTGTTCAGATTTTAACTTTTGTCTCCCTATTTTTTCAGTTGTTTTTATTTCAGTTGCTGCGAGGGCTGTCTTACATCCACCAGCGTTATATTTTGCACAGAGACCTGAAACCACAGAACCTTCTGATCAGTGACACGGGGGAGTTAAAGCTGGCAGATTTCGGTAGGAAAGCAGTTAATTACCAGTCTATTTTGTCACACTGTGAGAATGCCAGGCAGGTGGTGACACTGCATTTGTTTAGGTGCACTTCTTCTATCATTATAGATCACGGTAAAATCTCTTCAGGAGTCAAGAAATTTTTTTTTTTTTAATGATCAACATCATGCTTGGCGGATTTTTAAAAAATTCAAACTGCTTGTTAGCGTCTTAAATAATTATAAGCATAAATCAGATCTCATATATTTCCAAAGGAAAGGTTAGTAAAATTTTGAACATAAAATATGTTGAAAGAAATCTAATTTTTCTTCATTTTTTATTATGAAAATGTCAAGCACATTCAAAAGTAGAAGGAGAGTATCCATCTATCCATTATCCATCACCCAGCTTCAGCAATTATCAGTAGGTTGTCAAACTTGAACAAACCTCACTTTAAGCTTCTGGACTTTTTCAGGGCATCACAAAATATATTCAATTGTATATGTTGCCCTAAGATTTTAATAATTTACGAATCTAGGGGCAGTGTTAACGTTTCAGGAAGTGACTATTGTTTCAACAATTCTCAATAACTTTACAAAAATAGATACTTATTCTGATTTAAAAGTTGAGGTCCTAGCCTGGACCCATTGTAAGTGATCCCTTCCTTAAAAGTTTTAAAGTTGACCTCTTCTAGTGTAGAAGCTTCCCTCCAAACACTGTTTTGAGCTCCCAAAGAAGAGCAAAACTGTTGTATCGTCCGTGCTAGCTCCCCTCTCTTCATCGGGTCTGACATTTCTGCACTGCCCTGGCTCTCTGTCACAGCAGAGACTGTGCTGAGTTGATTCCCAGCACCAAGGAATGCTGATGGCAGCACGATGTGTTGACATTGCATTGCCTTAATTATTTTTGAATACATATTCTGATTAGAAATTTGTCCCATTAAGAGTGGAATGGAAATATTACCTTTGGGGCATAAAGACGCCTGAGGTTGAGATATGATTATCTTTTTCCACCCCACCTCCCAATAAATAAAAGAGAGCAGGAAATGTTTATTTATTTCAAGCGTAGTAGACTGTTCAGTACCTTTGGCATGAATCTACTCTGTTGAGTTTTGTCTATTTTTTTCTTCTAAAATTGAAATAAAACACAAGTTAGCATGACTAGTGATATGTTGCAACACTTTGTCATTTGTTCTCATCTAGTTTGGTAAAAATGATGAAACTGTGTGTGTATGTGTGTGTATGTGTATGTGTGTGTTGTTTATTGCCAGATTTTAGCATCAGAATAATACTAGGTGGCTAGATGTAAAGTCTTTCTATTACAGAGTAGAAAATAATGGGAGAGTAGGTGGGTGGAGGATCGAAGATTTGCAATTCCTCAAGTTTAAGGTTATTGGGTTTGCTGTGAACTTATTTTGTAGTTTGTTAGTATCAGTAAATTAATGAGAATTTATAGTGATTTTCTTCTGGTGTGTTAATACTATATAAAGATACATGTTGGAATAAATTATTGTATTGAACATTTAATTTTCTTGAACATAGTTTTCTTGTATATTTATAAAATACATTTTTACAAAGTTGATTTTGTCTGTATAACCAAGGGCATAATAGGATTATATGTAAGTGCTTACTGAGGATTATTTTTTAATTTTATGATGATGTTTTTATTATAATAGGTAAGTTCATCTTAAAAGATTCTTCTGAATCTTTAAAACTGACATTTTATAATATCAGATTCAGAAATAAATTGAAATTTAATTTTAAAGAACTTAGAAAGTTGTTTAAACAATTAGAATATTTAGAAAGCGTAAACAACTCAGAGATAACAATTGTTAACATTTTTGTTGTATATTTTCTCAGTACCTTTACCTCCTTCTCCTCTCTTTTCTTGCTTCTTCCACCTATTACAGATCCTGAAAAAAAGAAACATTATTTTGTAAACAGTTTGCAGTTAAGAATGTGTCATGAACATTTTCTGATGTTATTAAATATGAAAAAATCATTTGAAACAGCTTAGATTTTTCCTTCAGTGGCCAAAATCTAGTCTCTTTAATCAATCTCTTATCAATTAAAATTTTAGTTCTTTCTAATTATTCACTGTTACACACAGTCCTGTACTGAACGTCCTTGTGGAGAAAGCTGTATATGCTGCAATTGCGATGTTGTGTGTTTTAAAGCATTTGAGTCTTCAGACAAGACTGCTCTGCAGAAAGCTTGTGCTGTGTACCTCCCCTCAGTGTCACGGACTGAGTCTCCTTGCCTGGAACACACACTTGGCCTGCATCCTGTGCACAAAGTGTAATGAGCGAGACTCATTCACCAACTGACGATTTCCCCCAGTTAATTGTGCATTATTTTTGTCTTTTAATTTAAGACATGCAATTAACTGTAAATTACTGCACTTGGGCATGTGTTTGTGTCTGAGATGAAGGGAACGTAGTAGAAGCTGGGGAGAAGCTAGACAGTCAGGATGGGATGGTTCCAGGCGGCAGAGCAATCAGAAACACTAGGACTTAATTCCAACTGTGATATATAAAGAGCTTTAGAAACAGTTCCTTTGTCCTTTTTCTCTTAAGAAAAAAAGACCAGAAAATTTTGATTAAAGGAGACAAATGAAATCTGTATGATTATTGATTATTGTTCCCATATTTTGAATGCTACTATCTTTATTAGAAAAATATATGAAGGAGGAGGGAGAAACAGTAAAATTTACTGAGTTTATTCTATGTGCCAGACATTTAGATGTTTTTGTTTCATTGTCTTTTCAACCTAGTAACATATAGTAGCCTCTAGTTTTGAGAGAGACATGAGGTTCAGAGAGGGTTAGTAACTTGCCCAGGTGTGATCACACAGGGAGCTGGTTACAAAGCTACAGTTCAGATGCTTGATCCATATCCTTCCATCTCAGGTGGCCTGGGGTCTTTACATTTATACACATAGATATTTTACCTTACAATGCTGCCTAATCTTCTAGTAAATTATTGATCATTTTATATATATGTATATAAAATAGAAAATAGATTGCACTAATACCAAAAAGAGCACATCATATTATTTAAAGAAAATTTCATTATTTGACTAATTCAATAGTAATGAGTGAGTTCAACCTCAGCCCTCTGGAGATTTTACCTGCTGGACAGGGTAAACCAGATGATAATGTATTTGTAGACCTGTTCAAATGGAGTGCAGTTCTGAATTCCAGGTGGTCAAAATACTGTAACTTTTATTTTTTCTTGTAAGCAAAGTCATATTTAAGCACTTACTTGAGCCTTATTTTCTATATGCATTTTGCATAAGTAAACTACACATGATTTAGAATCACTATGGCTTTCCTAATGCAGAAGTTTGTCCTGCCTGTATATAAAGAAATAATAAAATTGTGTAGAGGCATTCAGACTCATTTCTGAAAAAGGGTTCATCTTTACGTTATCTTTGGGGAAAAAAACATTTCAAATCCCTTATCCAGCCTAGGTCTTCCCCACCTTGCTTGTCTTTGCCCACTGTGGTACAACCACACCCCAAACTTGTTCCCACATCTGAGCCTCTTAGTCTTTCATTTGCCTGGAATACTCCTCCTCCTGCCTCTCACCTGGCTGCCTCTTTCTTGTCATACAGATCGTAGATTATATGTTACCTGTTCAAAGAGGCCCCCTTTCCAGAAATAGAACCTTTTCCCTTACTATCATCCAGTTTAACTTCTTCAATAGCACGTATCGTGCACTGAAATTATTTTGTTCATTGGTTTATCTGTTTATTTTTTGCTTCTGCTACTTGGTTGTGAGTTGTGTGAGGGCAGCGACGTGGCCTGTCTTGCTCACTCGTGTCTGTGCTGTGTCTAGAACCATGCTTAGCACATGGTAGGTGCTCAGTAAATGTTGATTGAATGAATAAAAAATATACATGACTAAACTGAGAATTAGTGTAAGGACTCACACCCACCTGAATTTACTAATTTCTGCTTGATTCCCCCAGTTTACAAATTAATTTTCTCTTCATTGGTGCTGTCCTGGCTGAGCACAGTCAGGAGTACAGATGCAATTGAATGACTTTAGATAGTATTGGAGCCTCTGAATTGTTTTGAGGCTCTTACACATTGGCCCTCCATACCTGCTTGGTATGTTTGTACCAATGTTTGTAACCTCAGGCTGCAGAAATAAACAGCGCTGAGTGTGTGTAAACTTGCACCAAAGATGTATAAGATTTGAGACCTTAAATGATTCTCTAGTTGTACTATTGTGGAGAGAAAAGTGCATTCAGCATTGAATTAGGAGACCTGGCTCTGTCAATAACTAACTCGTGACTTTCATGAACTCATTTATGCCCTCGTAACCTTCGGCTCCTCAACTGAAGAATAAGAGCATTGAACAGATACTTTCTAAGATCCTTTTCTTTTCTTTTTTTTTTTTTTTTTGTAAGGAAGATCAGCCCTGAGCTAACATCCATGCTAATCCTCCTCTTTTTGCTGAGGAAGAACAGCTCTGAGCTAACATCTATCGCCAATCCTCCCCCTTTTTTTCCCCCCAAAGCCCAAGTAGATAGTTGTATGTCATAGTTGCACATCCTTTTAGTTGCTGTATGTGGGACGCGGCCCCAGCATGGCCGGAGAAGCGGTGCGTTGGTGCGCGCCCAGGATCCAAACCCGGGCCGCCAGTAGCGGAGCACGCGCACTTAACCGCTAAGCCACCGGGCCGGCCCTCTAAGATCCTTTTCAAAGCTGATTTCTTATGTTGTACATTTCTAAAATTACAGGCATACCTTGTTTTATTGTGCTAACTTCATTGTGCTTCACAGATATTGTGATTTTTACAAATTGAATGTTTGTGGCAACCCTGTGTTGTGCAAGTCTATCAGTGCCATTTTTTCCAACAGCATTTGCTCACTTTGTGTCTCTGGGTTACATGTTGGTAATTCTCACAATATTTCAAACTTTTTCATCATTATTATATTTTTCATGGTGATCAGTGATCTTCGATGTTACTATTGTAATTGTTTTTGTCCACCACAAACCACGCCCATATAAGACAGTGA